AGGTCAACCTACAGGATACAAGGATACTGGATTTAGTTACTGGAAAATTTTGAAATAATTGTTGTTGTTTGTCGCGTGTTTTGTGCACGCCACTGGGAACATCAATAAATTGTCAAAATCTGTCAAAATTTTTAATGACTGTGTGACGGTTAATAGCTGGAGAATCGATTTGTTCAAGTCGGCCCATCTATTGCGATTGAGTTTGCCAATTTTTTTTTTTTAAGGACATTGCGGACATTTTTATGAATTGCTCTTCTGGACAAACAATCGAATCTCTGATTTAACGATGAGGGAGCATTTTAGAGTTTTTAACGTCATGCGGTTATATTTCATCCATTTCTAAAAAGTGAAAAAACAAACATGTGTTTGATGGACTTGGAATATAATGGTAGAAATCTATCCATATTTATAATTTTTTTTTAGCGTTTAAAAATGTATCTTTCAGTACCCGGACACTATAGCTTTCTTTTCACCAAACCGCAATCTCCGAAACTTTCGCACCTGTGTGAGATGTCTGAGAAACCTCAGATGCTGACAGGACTCTGCCTACACAGGACACACCACCACCACAAGGACGATTATCATATCCCAGAGAAGCTCTAACCCTTTGGTTTAATTGCAGTAGGTATATCATGGAATAAACCTCCGCCTGGCAGTCAATGGTTGTAAAAAATGCATAAATTATCGTAACTGTAACAGTCGACCATGTTTCAGTTCATTAGGGGACAGTTTCGACCTTAACCCTTCCGCGAGAACCTTGTTTTTCCCGGACATATGCAAAATAATGTCGCGTCATTAGTGGCATGGCCAGGATTGGGAAAGGGTTGCAAGTGGGGCACGTGTCGAGCCAAATCAGAGGATGTGGACTGCTATCCTGTTTTTCATAGATTTGCATATGTTGATTTTCACAGAATCATGTGAATTAGATTTCCGGGGTTTAGTGTTTTCACTCCGACAGGTCAAAGGATTCGGGGCAAGTGCAAAAGAGTCGAGCCATGTTCTTGTCTCTAAATAATAAAGCTAAGCACAGTTTATAGAATTTCCTTTAAATTAGTTTTTATGATGTTCCCAAATAAATATCCCAAATGTTTCTCGCAAAAATCTCTCCTATTTTTGATGCTCCGCCTCAAAATCTTTAACCTTACCGCCTCCTGTTCTCAGACAGCAACTTTTTCCCACACAAAAAATATGTTGACCTTGTTAAGTTTTGGCAAAATAACCAGCGAATCGGCGATCCATCTGCACAAGGCCAGATACCTTCTGGAGCCTGGAGAGGAGGCGAGGTGGCCGAAGACTCTCTTGAAGACTTGGACAGGTACTCACGCTTTATCCACTCATAAGTCACGGCTTCGTTTTCCAGCCAGGGCACCCATAAATCAGCTCCTCATATAGGTCTGCCTCGCATATCTCTAATAATGATATCACAGACCGCACTCTCCGGGATACCGCATCCAGATACTCCCTCGGTCTCGACAAATCGGATGACTTTTCTCAGGCCCTTTCCCTTTTAACAGCCTTAGCTGGCGATGCATCGTGACACCATCCCGTCTCCACCTCCATTTGCGAGCCCATTTGCAACTTCTGCAGATGCTACGTGCAGTTGGGGGAATCTCCTCAAAGGTCTCTGCCTTCTTTTTCAGCACCCACGATGTGGTTTTTACACTCGAATAAATTAACTAAAAGTTTGAACATTTTATGATTTATAAATAAAAAACAAACTTCTTTTCTTAGACGATATATACCCGATCTCCCTTTAATGGGGATGCCAAATTAAGACATACTGCAATGCCGATGTCTTGGGCAATATATGCCCAATCCTTAAGCGTATCACCCTAAAAGTTTTGAAGACAAATTCCCATTAAGCTACATCAAAGCCTAAAAACATTAAATTTTTTCGAATTTTTATAAATTTTTCTATAGGACCCCCTTTAAAAAATGAAAATGAAAAAATGTGAAGATGTCGAAAAAGCCACACTTGGATTGTCCATATCTTGGACGATATGAACCCGATCCTTGAGCTTAAAATCTTAAAAGGTTCGTTGATAAATTCGCCATTAATCTACATCACATAATATTTTTTAGAATTTTTATACATTTTTCTATACCCCCTTTAAAAAATGTAGAATGTGAGGATGTCGAAAAAGCCACACTTTGATTGCCCATATAATGGCCAATATATACTCGATCCATGAGCGGAATTCATTTAAAGATTTGTAGCTGTATTCCCCATTAGACTGCATCAAAATATAAGAACATTTGTAAAATTTTTATACATTTTTCTATAGGACTCCTTTAAAATGGATTCGGCGTGGGGTTTTTGTTGAAGTGTTTTCCTCACTGCCTTGTATTTTTAAGATAAGCCGTACTACCGATTAGAAGCCTATAGAAATTCTCAGATAAAGTATTTATCAGTATTCGTTTTCTTCAATAAAAAAAGAACAACTAAAAAATTGATCCCCCAGATTTGATAAAACGATCAAAACTAATACCAGGCAAAAGTATCCGGAGAGGACATATCGTCGTGCTTACTATAAAAGCTCAGTAATGCTGCGACAACGATAATGCAGATGGTAATAATGATGATCATCAAGCGGCGATGTGATTGAAACAAAACATCTTATTATTACCTTCGACCGGTCGAAGGAACGACCCCGTGCGACCTCAAGGTAAAAACGGGCAAAAAATAAAAAAAAAAGAAAAATCACAAAGAGTGCGCAAAATAATTCCCACGCTCAGTGGCCAGAGGCAGCCTTTTGTCGTCGTTTCCATCTCCTTGGCTCCACCATCACATCATCATCATCATCATTATGGTCATCATTATCATCATCACGGTTGTATTCTTCTTGCCGGTTCCTGCCATATAAGGCAACGTCCTTCCAAACGCCCCCTGCCCGGCCCCAAAGGAGTTTCTTGAAATTCTGCGCCTCTTTCTTTTCTTTTCTTTTTGTAACTTTTTGGGTTTTTTGTTTATATTTTTATTTTCCTTTTTTTTTTGGGATGGTAGGCTGGTCTGAAGTTTTTTGTGATTGATTTCACTTTGCCCCCCACCCCAGAGCTCAACCGGCGAACACAATTTCTTAACTTTCACAGCTCATTGAGCTTGAAAAGTCACTCACACGGGGTCAGGTTGACAATTGACAGGTATCAAGTGGTTAGGTCGCATAATTATAGTTTTTAGTGGTGCGGAAAATGTGAGCCAAGGATGAGAGTTCTGGATGCTACATTTGGCACTTATAGAAGGGTATACACAGAAAATAATAGGGAAAAATAATGGCAATCCTGGATTAAGATAGCTATCTATGTAGGTATCAGCTCAAAGATATCAAGCTTGAAAGAGACATCCTTTATATAACAAATATCGTATATAATAAACCACTTAAGTCTATACTTTACCTTTAAAATATCTTAATACTCTTCATAATAATTGAAATTACCTTAAATAATAGCTATATTTTGACTTAAAGAGTTTCATTAACATAATTGTTTTTTGTGTAAAAGTTTAAGTGTGCTGGTCCTGAGACTGCCATCAGGTTAATGATTGTGGGTAACCAAAGTAACCACAAAAATTGTATCATCCCCGTCCTCCGTCTCCAGCACTCTCCTCTAATCAAAGCTTTTGCCCATTGAGCCAGATTATTTTACATTTCATTAATGTGCCGAAAAAAAAGGGAAATACTTTCAATGAAAGCGTCTCCCAGGGCCAGATGCCTGAGCTCCCTCCCGATCATTATTATCATCATAATTATCTTCGGCTGGAGTTCAAGTCCAGGGAATCTTGAATCAGTGCTATTGATCAGAGCTCCCCAATTAACTTTTATAGTTACTATTCTTGCCAGCTAAAAAAATCTTAAACAAAGGAATATATTTCCTCAAAAAGAAAACAGAATTTATTTTAATAACAAAAATTCGTAAAAATTGAGACAAAAAATACACATATATTGTTATATATTTTGGGGGTGGCATATTCAAGTGGCTTGGAGTGTATGTTTTCAATTCCAAAGTATTCCAAATCCACCATCGTCATCATTATCGTGGAAGCCAACAGGTTGAAAGGCTGATGTTCCATTTCAGCTCGTCGCAAGGGGTGGCTACCCACCATTGCCTCGGGGGTGTGGGTCGCACAAGTGCACTGCGAAAAACGATTTTTAATAAACTAAAACAGAAATAAGCTTAAGATTTATAAGAGAATAAAATCTAGGAGGAAATAAATCTATTTATAACTTAAACTTGGAGGGAAAGAAACTTACAAAAGTTCAATTGTTTATTTATGTTGCTTTTAATATTATTTGGATTGTACAATTTTGAAAATAAAATTTCACACAAATCTTTTATGTCTATGTGAAATCTAAAATATAACAAATAAAATAATTAAATAATTTTTTGGGGGTTTACATATATAGACAAATTATTGTGCCATTATATGGTATATAGAACCATCTACAAGTAAAGTATCCGAAACCGATCAGGAAACTATGAAAAGGCTATGTCCTCTTATTGGTACCATAAATACCGCTTATAATTATTTTATCTTCAAGGTTTTTTTTATAATTTAAAAATATATTTTTATTTCTTAAATACAAAAGTAAAAGAAGGTAGCTATAACTAAACCATTTCCGTTTCTATAAAAACAACCCCTAACAAAGAATTTCCTTTTTTTCAAGTGTGTATATTGTGGTGTGTTTCAACCTTAACTTGTTCCCGAGGACAAACTCAACCTGACCTGCTTCGTTCCTTGCCAACCCCGGCTCAGTCGTTCATGACCACAATCACTCATTCGTTTCTTGACTACGGACGAGTTCGAATCGCTTCGAACGCCACGGATCGGTCGGTCGCCTCGAATCACATCGGTTGGGAGTTCAAAAAACAATTGAAGTAAATTGATCGCAATTTGCAAGTGTAAAAAATGTCAGACTAAACGAAGAGAACTTTCCCTATAATTGTCGCGTCTTTGGCTTACTTTTGTCAGAAATTCAGAAAATTAAAACGAAGAGTTAATAAAAAAATTTCAATAAAACGGAAGGGCGCGAAGTCTAAAATTGTTTGAAAAAAATGGCTGATGAAAGTTTGCATACTGTGCCGTTGGAGCACAACATTGACTATCATATTGTGACCTTGTTCGAGCGTCTGGAGGCGATGCGTAAAGATAACCATGGTGGGGGTCATGGGGTTAACAATCGTCTGTCCAGCACCCTGCAGGCCCCCAAGCGGAGTATGCAGGCCGAGATTCGCACGCTGGAGTTTTGGAGGTAAGTCTTAAAAAAGACACTGCAAGGATTGTTTGAATTTATCTTTCATAAAATAGAGTGTATAAAATGGAAATCTCTTCATGAAATCTAAGAAAATACTCTGATATATCTAGGAAAAGGATTTCAGAATAAAAGACTTGGATTCTCAGTGCATCAGCACTAAAGACCTTTGTTTTCGCAGCCATTATCTGCACTTGCTTTCAATTTGTTCAACTTTAGACGACAGTTGTTGGATGTCATCATTGAGCTTTGTGTGTGAACTCTAAGTAATTGAAATCAGAGTGTTCTCCTCCAGACCTTATCAAGATAATCGTCAAACTAAATACTGGTAAAGTTTTAAGTACTCTTTGACTCCTGTGACTCATACCCTCTCGACCTCTTTTGAGTTGGAAATTTCAAAATAATTAACATTTCATCACAGGTCGGATGGAGTAATTAAATCTTTGCCAGGATATAATGCTTTTCTAGGATGTCAAGCTCAGAAATTCCAAGTAAAATGCGCGACACTTTTGCCTGCATTCCTTTCCCTTTCCCCCCAGCTGGCTGACCATTAAAAAGTCAAACGTTGTTGGGCCCAACCCATAGTTCCAATTAAAGAGAATCCAGAATGCAAACTGAGAAATTTATGATTTTATGGAAATCCATGGAGTCCCCTGGAGTTCCCTCGCATTCGCGGTAGTTTGTTTGATTTTTTGTTATCGTGGCGGGGGGATGGCCCCTTTTTTTCGAGCTTAATGTGAATCCAAGTTCCCTCACGTCCAGCGGGAATCAACTGGAATCAACGCCACATTGCAGTTTCATCAAACCGCCCCCGATCTCTTTTGGCCCCTCACACTCCCCGGCTTAATTGTCACTGCAACGCTTGAGGGCAACAAGAACTCGCATTGTGTGCAGCTTGATTTGTGCAACAAACAGTAAACATCCACTAAGAAGTACGGGGTTTTTATTTTATTCAAAAAAAGAATTTTATTCAAATTAAAGGAGTTATCTCTAAACCTTAGACTAGATAGTTTAACCTTGTCTTAAAGCTTCTTCCATAGTGACCACTGTACCGTACCATACTTCACATCCTGTCACACTCAAAAGGGTCTGGCAAACCTCAGAGATATACTAATCCTTCTAACCCTTCTCTTACAGATCCATCATCAGCGAGTGCATGGCCTCGTTCCTCTACGTGTTCATCGTTTGCGGTGCCGCCGCGGGTGCCGGCGTGGGTGCCAGTGTGTCCTCCGTGCTCCTGGCCACGGCCCTGGCCTCCGGGTTCGCAGTGGCCACGCTGACACAGTGCTTCCTTCACATCTCGGGTAAGTCATCAGTGGGGACAGTAAATAACAACAACAATGACAACTGAACTGAAGCATCAACAGAAACAGGGCGGCAAGTGTTGGCGGAGCCCTTGGAGTTGCGTGGAAAAGTGCCGTTTTCAGAGCCAAAACTCAGTAGACACGAAACCCCTTTATTATTATTTTTTTGTTTTTTGTTTTCTTGGTTTTTGTTTGCCATACTGGCAGTTGTATTTTCGAAAAGGCAATGCACTTTGTGCGGTTCCCCAACTCCAACTCCACCTCCAGGCAACCCCGTCTTATCTCTGGGGCGCACTTGTGGTGCCATCGACTTGGCTCTCCCACCCAGCTCTCCTTTTCCCATACATATACTCTTGTATTTATATATCTGTTCATTTGCGTTGACATCCAAGGCAATTAAATGTTTTCTTCTTGAGAAGCACAAGGAGCAGGAGTCGTTCCCGCCCAGCAACATGTGTTGTTGATTTGCCTTCCCAGCCGACTCCCCCACTTTCGAGCTTGGCGATTTCTTTGCTTTTTCACAGCCAATTGGTTGGGCATTAAGTCATGATGTTATCTGCCATATTTTGGGGCAAGCATTCCCCTCCCTCAAAGTGTCAAAGTGATATTTAACGGCCACCAAAGATAGTACCGAGTTTGTAAAGTAATTTTATTTATTTCTTATTTATAGGTGCCCACATTAACCCCGCCATTACTTTGGCCTGCATGGTGGTACGCTCTATATCTCCGATCAGGGCAGCCATGTATATGACCGCCCAATGTGGCGGAGGAATCGCAGGAGCCGCTCTACTCTATGGGTAAGTTAAAGGAAATAAACTTGGATCTATAAGAATAGGGATTATAGAGAGCCTCTTATATCTAAATGCAGAAAGTTAATCGTTTTTCTATAATCGAGGAAAGCCATTAGGCCTTTTAATTAATCCAATTAGAAGGATTGCCACAAGTCCTTGGCCCACAATTTTGAGATATGTCTCTAATTAAATGCATTCAAGCATTAAAGAACCAATTTAACGAGAAATTCATTTTGAATTTCGTGTTTGTCACAATGTCTTCATTATGTATATTTAAGTATCTGCTGTGTATCCTGTGAGCCTGACCACACAGCAATGGCTGAATTATGCGAAGGACATATTCTAGCACACTGCATTCTGCATCTGCGTGAGGATTTACCCAAAAAAGCAAACTCAAGAGTTTCAAATTAAATCCAACAGGCTGTTGGAAATACTGTCAGGTCGTAAATCAAAACGGAAAAGGACTCAGGGACATGAAACGCACTTTCGGGGTGATGACTGTACAACAAGGAGGGTCGACAGGAAGCATGAAATGCGTGTGCAGAACCGAAGAAATTGTGGAATTTCTATAAATGGGATGTGCAGGTAACCTAGGCCCAGCACCTGCAGGCCGCAGGTAGCTAGGATACTATCTGCTAGGAGAAAACATCTGCCCCTGTCCCTTGGTGTTTTGCGCAGTGATTTCCATTGTGATGCCTAGATAAAGGACCCCTGCCCAAGGATATAAACGCACACGCAGCCAACGCAGAAAATCTCCTGTCAGTCAGGGTTTTCCTTCAGTGGCAGGACAAGGAACAGGATGAGGGCGATGGAAATATACGTTACTCTCAGTTTACGTATCTGCGCCTGCGCAGCATTTTATTTTTTTTGAGATTGTCGATCCAGTTTTTTGTTGTTGTTGAACTGCTCGTCTTCCAGAGACAGAGTCCAATATTAATGCCTCTCCCCCGATTGTCTGCTCGACATCTGTTTCGACCCTTCTTTTAAGTGCGTTGGCATCTTTACTTTCTACAGATCCATTCGCAGGAGAAAGAGGACGAAGACGAGCCGTCGGGGCAAAGAAACATGTTTCAGCTGCTGCCGCTGCGATCAAGTTCGGGGTTTTTTTTTTGGTGCCTGATATGGACTTCTTTGGGGTCCAATGAGTTCACGTTTTTGGGTTTTTGGATAAAACATATGTTTGTCTAAAAGAAAACTAAAAAACAGAAGTAACAGAAATCTGGGGGTATTTGCTGATTAATTGGTTTAGATTTGGATGGAGTATATTTTATGAGTTATGGGTTATAGGTCTTGGGGTCTAATGGGTCTCTCATATAGCTCTGGGAATGGTGTTTCAACTTCACAGCTCACACTTTGTGTATTAAAAAAATAAATTTTATATTTCCTTGTTCCTAAGGATGTACTTTAGTTGGGCTAATACACCCAGGACCTGCCACTCAGCTGCTCATCCTGCTCCTCGCCTTCGCCGTCCCTGTCACATGTCACTTGGCACTTACCCTAATTGCGCCGCATATGCCACATGTGGCACAGAAACAGCAAATACCAACTTGGGCAGATAAAACACAATCTTTCATAAACCAGAGAGAGCGCTTAAAAAAAACATTGTCGTACGAGGTAGAGGGTTGGGGATACGGTCTTGAGTATCGATATCCGGCTTAGTGATATTTGAATAGTCTTTAGCTCTTCCTCGCATTTCAATGATTTCTTCCCCTACTTTATTATTACTTGGTTTTATGTATATTTTTTTTTTGTTTGGTTTGAAGAACGTGCGCCGAGCACGTTCCAAAAATGCGAGTAGCCTTTGAAAATGATGAAAGATAAGAATCAGGTAGAGGCCGCCAAAGCCAAAAGACAGCAAAGCAAAGAAACCAGAAAGCAGAAAAAAAACCATAATTAACATTTCCAGAGGATTGGTCTTTGTCCAGACGCTGACTTCGGAGGCATCGGGGGTTGCGCCTGCGCAGGATAGCCTGGATGCGTGGTGCGGAAACTTGAAATCAAACACGTGTCGCCGTAGTAGCCGGCCGATGCACCGCTCTGGTTGGTCAGTCCCAGCTCCGAGGAGCAGCTGGAAAAAAAGAATGCTCGCCGCACACCTGCTGCCCCAAAACAGAAATTACTGTTGCCTCGAAAAACAGGATTTCCAAAGCGAACAAATTTAAATTTTAACCAGAAACCGAAATGCAGAGAGATCAGGCCTTACACTGAGGTTTCTTTTTATTCTCTAGTAATTGGAAATTATTTTCAAATATAAAGTCTTTCTGGTAATAGCCTATTGACATCGAAATGCACTTCCTGCCGGGAAAATGTGTTGGGAATCGATAATAAATTCGTGTCACAGGGGCAATTCAATTACTGAATCTGAATTCGAATCCGAGCCGAGCACCAAATTCCATTTTGAATAGTTGCCGGCTCGCTTATCGCACTCGGGTTCGAAATGGCATCCTGCCAGTGTTTCCGGTTGCCCTCACATTGCTCCTTCCTACCTACATACATACATATCTATGTCCTGCATCGAATGCTGCACAGGTGGTCCAGTTATACAGTTATTTCATCGGCATTCACACTATTCCCGGAGTGGGGGGGATGAGGTCATAACAGTTTATTAAAATTGTGATTATTTTCAAATATTAAATTGAGAGCTTAGGCGCTTAGTTCTGTCATTTATGATTAAAATAAATTATTTTTAAAGCCTCTCCTCCATGACAACTTTAGTTCAAAAGCGTGGATGAAAATACATTTAGTGATTTCGTGGCATAATTTGATTTGGGGGTCGCATCGGGATTCAATTCTCCACTCGCGTTATCCTGCTGTCCTCCCGGAATGGCAACCGCAAACCCAGCCCGGGCGCAAAGAGCAAACCAAACCGAGCGTGTTGCACATGCCACACGCCACATCGCAACTAGAAAATGGTGTGTTGGTGTTGGCCCACGCCTGGGCACAAGGATATAAGGATAACGACGATTCTCGGCTAAGTTTACTGTGTGAGTTTGTTTTTTGTTAACAATTTGCGCAGGAAGCTCTGCTGAAAGGTCCTGGTTCCTCGCTCCACATTGCCATTTCCGGCTACTTAGTTGCTTCCTCTGCTCCTCGGTGGCACTGTTTGTTTATTTCTGCGGTCGACTGGCTATCCTCCTCCTCGTCCTGTGAAATTAGCACTTTATAGATTTATGAGCAAACAGAAGCTCTGCCTCAATGGAAAAATACTTTCCGAGGCGATCAAATTTTAATCAACACTCCTGTAGCAGCTGTGTGTTGACAGTGGGCCTCATTATGCCGGGGGGGCTGCTTGGAATTCAGTCACAGATTAGGACTCTTTCCACCTAATGCCAGCTTAGTCGTCCCACAGTTATGACGATTGTGGCACCAGGAGGTTTCACCTCAGCCCTCATCCCAAACTTCGTGCAGCCGGATTTCGGAGCAATTTCCCATTGCCAGGCGCTCTATTTGCTCAAGTACTTTTAAGTGCATTGCGAAAGCATTTATTTCCGGATTTTGGGCGGAAAAGTGAGTGTCTGTGTGGGTAGGGGGGTGTGGTTAACCGATGTGCCAGGTAAAGGCTTGTGGCTCAGCTTTGTAAATATTTACTCTACTTCGTTGAATCGAAATCTAGCTCTCTGTGACAACATTCCAGAGTTCTGGGATATCTTAAATATGATTTCTACCTCAATGAAAACTTTTCTGTATATGGATTATACGGAAGATGATTTTAGCAATAAATCTCAGATTTTAGCAATAAACTCATTGGGGCCAGAAGTGCTCCACAACTTTTCCTCGAAGTTTTGACAATCTAAATGATTTTGTGACAGTTCATGTGTGAGGAGATTAATGAGTTTGGAGTTTCAAACGACTGAAGAAGTTGGTTTGGAATCTGTCAGAGACAGAGGTTTCTCTTTTAAAAGTATATGATTAACTTAATCAGTTTTAAATTAGAACATTACTTAACTTTAAATCTTATATTCCTTTACAGAGTTACTGTCCCTGGATATCCAGGCAACCTTCAGGCGGCCATCTCCAATACTGCACCAGTAGGTTCCTGGGAGAGATTTGGTGTGGAATTCATTCTCACCTTCCTGGTCGGGCTCTGCTACTTCGTATCGACGGATCCCATGAAGAGGTTCATGGGCAATTCGGCCGTTTCCATTGGAGCTGCCTACAGCGCCTGTAGCTTTGTTTCGGTAAGTTGACTTTTGTGAAATCCCCATCCCTTGACCGAGGAATTCGGTGCAAAAATCTCAAAACAAAAAAAAACCGAAACCGAAACTGAAACCAAAGACAACACAAAACCAAAAACGCACCTGCCGACTCGGATTCTGACTTTTATTCACATTTTGATGCAAAATCGCGGCATGACAACCGACTGGAGATGAGCTCCCGACGACCAGGTAGAGGTAGAGGACTCGAAAGGAAGGTCATGCGGGGATCAGAGAGGGATAATTAATTTAGCACAGGGTCTGTCTGGTCGGGATGGAGTTGCATTGTTCGCATAACGGACGGTTAGTGGCGGCATTCAAAGGAGTCGCGATGACTTGGCCAGGTTCTGGATGATGGGTTCAGGCAGCGATTAAAGTCAAGTTTATATATCGATTCGGGATTGAATTACGGTGAAGGGTTTCGCGGAAAACTCTTATTGTTAGGATCCTGAAGGAATTAAGTTAAATAACTTAAAAAACTTTAAAGCTTACTTTAGGGAGAACTCCAACAAAATTTCTCGCGTTAATTAAAGTATTTGTTTAAAATAAAAGAAACCCAATGACACGTGAATCATAAAACTAAAAACTTTTCACAAACAAAAACTTTTCCAAAAGTTTCTAAAATTAGTGAGACATACTTCTAACTTAACTTTAAACCTGCTTATGTTTAAAAATAGCTCGAATTCTTCCTTAATTTTGGCAGGACACTAACCGAATGCTTTCTCTTGCCTCCTTTCAGATGCCCTACTTGAATCCGGCCCGCTCCCTGGGTCCCTCGTTTGTGCTGAACAGATGGGACAACCACTGGGTTTACTGGTTCGGACCCCTGGTGGGCGGCATTGCCTCCGGCCTGGTGTACGAGTACATCTTCAACTCCCGCCGCAGCTTCCGCCCAACCAAGGGCAGCATCGATAACGACTCCAGCTCCATTCACTCCGAGGACGAGCTGAACTATGACATGGAAATCGAGAAGCCCGGCAAGTACCAGCAGTCGCAGGGCACCTATCCCCGGGGGCAGTCCAACAGAGGTGGCGGCGGTGGACAAGTTCAGGCGAACGGCGAGCTTGCAGCTCCCAACATGGGCCAGATACCCGGCGTAGTGCAGGGGCAGGGCAACTACTGCCAGAACCTTTACACGGCGCCTCCACTCTCCTCGAAGTACGAGCAGCAGCAGGAGCCGCTGTACGGAGGCACCCGCTCCCTGTACTGCCGTTCGCCCACTCTGACCCGGAGTAATCTGAACCGTTCGCAGTCCGTCTATGCCAAGAGCAACACCGCGATCAATAGGGATATTGTGCCACGTCCTGGACCTCTGGTGCCGGCCCAGAGTCTCTACCCGATGCGCACCCAGCAGCAGCAGCAACAGCAACAACAACAGCCGCAGCAACACCAGCAGGTGGCATCCACCGGTCAATCCTCACATTTGCAGAACCAGAATGTCCAGAATCAGATGGTGCAACGCAGCGAGAGTATCTACGGAATGCGTGGCTCGATGCGTGGACAACAGCAGCCCCTGCAGCAGCCTCAGCAGATGCAGCAGCAACCGCCACCGATGCAGCAGCAACAAATGCAGCCACCGCCGCAAATGATGCCCGATCCCCAGCAGCAGCAACAGCAACAACAGCAACACAGCAACAGCAGCAGCAACAGCAGCCACAAGGCTTCCAGCCAGTCTACGGCACCCGTACGAATCCCACGCCCATGGACGGAAATCAAAAGTTTGAGCGACGCGACCAGCAGCAACTGTACGGCATGACGGGTCCACGGAATCGCGGACAGTCGGCTCAGTCGGACGACAGCTCGTACGGCTCGTATCATGGATCGGCGGTTACGCCGCCGGCACGTCATCCAAGCGTGGAGCCATCGCCACCTCCACCGCCGATGCTGATGTATGCACCGCCCCCGCAGCCAAATGCTGCCCACCCGCAACCCATTCGCACCCAGTCGGAGAGGAAGGTGAGCGCGCCCGTTGTGGTGTCGCAGCCGGGAGCCTGTGCCGTCACTTACACAACTTCGCAAGGTCCCCCAGTGCCCACCCAACAGCAGCAGCAACAGCAACAGCAGCAACAACAACAGCAGCAACAACAACAGCAGCAGCAGCAACAACAGCAACAAATGATGATGCAACAGCAACACTATGGAATGTTGCCTCTACGGCCCAACTGAAAGCGACTGTCGTGGGGTCCAGTGACTACGCCGCCGCCGCAAGCGATGCATTCGCTTACTCTACACGCCGCTGGCACCATGACCCTGCACCGCTGCAGCCTAGCCAAGCAGAGCAGTTTGTTTTAGTCGTAATCCAAAGGAAACGCACGAAAGTCTCAGCCCTTAGTCTAGCCTAATCTTAGTTAAGATAGATGTACGATACTATATGGATCAGCCAATAGCCACATTGTATTATTCAGACGCCAACATGACAAGGAGGAACTCATCATACCTAGCAGCAGACGACGATGCGATGGAGACAGGCAAAGGTACAGGCTTCTTTCGGTTTAGAAAGATGCTTCGAAACTAGCCCAAGGCCTAATAGACTAGATTATTCCTACAATATACAATAGCTTAATGGCGATTTAGACTGAACGTAGGTCCATAGTCTCAAGATATAGGGGAAAAATCTTAAACATACTTACTGAAATACTTTATTTCATCTCGTTTTTTATTTAAAAAGCAAAAGCTTCCATTGATTGTTCGTTTCTGTATCTTCCAATTGAAAACACCTTCATTGAAATCTTTATTTGAGTATTATTGTTTATTAAAAAGTTATTTTTCATTGTACAATTAACTTTTTAACTTGGTTGAAATGTCCTTTTTTTTATCTTCCAACTATGGCCTGTTTTTGTTTCGTGATTTTGAAAGGCCAAACTTTAAACTCTTATGATTTGTATATAAACTAGATATAGTCTTAAGGTTGCACATATTTAAGCTATTTCTGTAAACCTAAGGCCCATACGCTCACAAGTCGATATCATCTTATGGATAAGGTCTTATCAATGTATTATAAAAATATATTAACGCTTGGTAATAGGAAAGCCTAAGAGAATAACGTAAATGTATGCTGTAACGAAATAAAGAAATGTTCACTCATATATCAATGTATCTTATGAACAAAGAAAGTTCTTTCATTTATATTTTCATAATACTTGGTTGGGAGGAGTCTAATGTTCCAATCAAGAAACCTCTTTGAAACATCGTGGCACTTAGCTTAGAATTCCCAGAATGTGATTCTTATAATAGTAACAGAACAGTCTATAATTGTAGACTCTAGTTGAAGCATTTCCGCATCATAACCTCAAGTTGGCATGTTTCTTAAGTTAGTTTTAAATATAATATCTTTGGGGGAGTATTGTTAGGATTGATCTCTGTACTAGCTCAGACCGAGTACATGAAGTTGAAGTACTGGCGAACTTCAGCGAGCGGGAAATGTGGCAGCTGCTCCTTGACCTTCTTGAAGTCGTTGCCGTGTTTCTTGAATGCCTCTGATAGATGAACAAGGTCCTGGGCCTTCCAACGATGGTAGCGACATCCGCGGGCGGTCTCGATCCCAGCTAGACGTCGTCGAGCCACCGGAATGTCGAATCCCTGTTGACGTAGAATGAAGAGGGCCTGTTCCTCCTCGATTTCATATTTACTGGCAGCGAAGTCCAAATAGTCTCGAACATTCTTTTCGTCCTGTTCCTTCATTTGGGGTGACCACAATATCGAGGCCCGATGTTGGAGCTGTTCCAGCCTGGGTTTGTGTTCCTCCTTCGGCACGAAGTCCGGTATAGTGGCTGCCTGCTGTTTCCAGTAGCGAGCATCTCGTTTTTCCCTAGGCGAGTATGTCATTTTTGAACTCAGTCAACAAAGTAAACAACGATCAGCACCCCGAAGCCAGTTCGAGACGTCACAGGGTTGCCATGCTGTCCTTAAGTGTTGGTAAACGTACAAAACAAGCACGTGAGGAAAGTACAGTGTAAAAAATTATATTATCATCTCCATAAATATTATTTAAATGAAGATTTTTAAATAAACGAGCACTCATTGTTAAAAAAAATGAAAATATATTATTTATCTATCCATTATTTATTATTTTCTTATTTATTTTATTAAATCTGAATTGAATTTAATTTATTTCATATCTTTTTCAAGGTCATTTTGAATGAATATCCGGTCGACAGAAAAATCGGTATCGGAAATTACTAAACTTACGATTTTATTACTTCTGGAATAAAACATGCATTCTAGATTTAAAAAATAAATCTAGAATAATAAAGTAAATCACAATACATTTTGGTCTATGTAGTAATATTTAATTTGTGTAAAAAAAATTGTTTTAAAAACAAAACATAAGAAACATATTGAAATTTTAGGTTTTTCCGGAGTACCCATCCTATAGATCTTCGCCAATTGCAGAATCTGATTCATCGTTGGAAGGATAGTCCTCGGTTGAGGACTCCTCTTCTCTATCCACACGCCTGCGCTGAAAGGAATCCCACATTACGATGGCTTCGGATAGCTCTGGCTCCTGGTCGAGCTCCGTATTGTAGGTCAGCCAGTGAGCAATCTGCTGGGCATAGAACGAACTGAGCAGAGAGGGCCAGAGCCTTATCAGACCCACCTTGGCCAGCTTGATGTGCAGATTATAGCCAATCTGTTTCTCCGATTCTATAGCCACCTCGCCCAGTAGATTCAGGATGCAGCATTGGGGTGGCGATGTCGTTGACACCATATAGATCAATGAATTGTTTTTCAAAATTAGTTTGTATTCCGGCACTTTTTGCTCGATGACCAAGTCGATATGGGAAAGGTCCTGGTGCCACTTCACCTTGGGATTGACTGACCCGTTGGCGATTACACCGCACTGCAAAGATGCCGCCACATCCTCAGGCGAAGGCTCCTGATTCGAATCCTTATTCGGTACCTTATGGTATTTTAATGATTTTACCGGTTTGGCCTTTGGGGGCTCCTCGGTTTCTTCTTCATCGAGTAAACCGGATAGGAAGTCTTTAGTCACTTGCTTTTTTGAAGGACTCATAGTCTCCACCTCGTACGTGAGAGCCTTTAAAAATGCATTATAACTTTCATTAGGAATGTCTTCTAATTGGTCTTGTTCTTTCTCGTCTTTTTCCACAGTTGTTAAGGGGTCTTCGTAGAGTTCATCGTCAGTATCATTAATGGATACAAATTGAACTGCTTCATAATCTTTAGATGGGTTTTCAGATGACTCCTTAGTTATACATTGAATATCTTCCGGAGCTGGAAAGTGGGTCTTAGCATCGCTTTCCTGAATGAACTCTTTTTGATCTTTGATCTTTGGTGATCCTGGTGAGGGGTCTTCATAGAGCTCATCGTCACTTTCATGATCGGATACAAATTGAACTACTTTAGAACCTGTAGATAGGTTTTCAGATGACTCCTTATTTAAGGACTTTGGACCACAAATTTGGGCTGCATCGCTTTTCCGAATTACCTCTTCTTTTGGGTGATCTTTGGTTTGGTTTTCAGCTGTAATTGATTGGATTTTTTTTAAAAACTGGGATAATAAACTGTGTTTCTTTTCAGAAACATAATTTTTTAAATCAGTTATCGGGGAGAAGTATTTAACTGGAGGTGGAACAGCATCTTCCGAGCTCGAATTTGAAGTCGGTACCTCAGATTTTTGCGATGTCTTATTAGTTTCAAGCTCAGCTTCTTCCTGTGTTTTTGGCTTATCAACAGCCTTTGATTGTGTATTTCCATCTTTGTTTCTTAATTTAGCAAATCTTCTGGAAACGAGTTCCTTTGAAAGCAAAAGTTTGTAGATACTTGTGCGCATGGATGGGCACTCTTCGACCAAAGCGATTTCCTTCACATGGATTACATTTTGGATAGAAAAGTCGACGATGACTTGCAAATGCGTGTTATTACCGATGTTACTCAACATTTCATGAGTCCATAGTTTAGAGTTATCTGACCACTTCTGGCCTCTTCGACAAGCTCCTTCCACTCCCGATAGGCGAATATTGAGGGCCATTGCCGGCTGATTAGTGAACTTTTCGTCCGGACACTGGAGTAACTCATTTGGCTTTACATACAGCAGTTCTGAACCGTGATCCATTTGTTGGACCACAACAGGACGCCTTGGGGGAATGTCCACAATGCGTACCCGCTGGACTTGGCCATGACGGATCACCACGCAAACGTCGTGCAGACGGTATGGGTTGAGAACCTTACGCTCTCCCATGCTCATTTGTAACGAAAACGTCCAATAACTGATGTGATGCCCGACATCTATCCAACAGTCCTGTCCTTGAACCCTGTACTCCAAGGGCCACATGGACATATGGTCTGGCTCGTAGATCTTGTTTAGCCTGGCCCTGATTACTGTTCCTGATTTCATGAGAGGATTTTCGGGATCTGGCATATCTTCAGGAATATATTCGTGCCGTTTGTAACAGTTGAAGTTGTGGCAACTTCCTTCATTAAGGAAGTTTGGGCAAATTTGACGACTTCCAAGATCCTTCTCCTGACAAGCCCGTGCCATCTGAGCTAATTTCTCGCTCAGCGGAATGTCGTGAAAATGAAGGAAATCCACCAGTCGCAGATACTCCGCCTGGGTATCCTCGTTGAGCAGCACAACACTCGTTATTCTTTTCTCATTGCCCGTGAGTGGGGCGGCCACCAAGTTGGGAATAATGTCTGAATGGGCATGGAACCGATGTGCAAACTTGGACCAGGACGTTGGAAAACTATAGTGTATTAGCATCTCAATGTTCCGGTTAGGAAGTTGGACTACACCTTGTTGGTCGCTGACTAACAGCAGTTGGTTTGGTTGCTGAAAAATACAAAATTTTAATAAAGATTGTTAGGATACTAAAATATTTAAAACCTACCTGTTCCTCAGCCTTCAAAATACCGATGCACTTGTATCCGATATCGAGGAGCATATTTTGAATGCGTCTTAGTTCTTGATCAGTTTTAAAGAAGATCAACGTGCGCTTAGTCACAGAGTTTTTTGGCTCCAGGATTGATAGCAAGTTGTCGAACTGGACATCGTCACCTTGAACGCTTAATCTTAATACGAGTTGGCCGTACATCGCCGCCTCCAAAAAATTTCCGAATAGAATGAGAGGATTTGGCATGCTTTTCAGCAGCTTTCCGAACGGTTTTGACTGCCATTTCTGGGCTATTATGACAATCTGCGTTTTGGGATTTCTTAAATCGTTTAGTCTGTGCATCACGTCGTCCATTATTTCCGGGCAGTTCTCTTGCATGGTCTGAAAGTCGTCTAGGACTAAGGAAAGCAATCTGTTCTTGTCAATGACCCCTGGTTTATCCATTATTATGGTATGGAGCTGTGATAACGTCGTCACCAGAATGCTAAACGAATTAAGCAGCAAAATGCTTAAATCTCGCTCCGAATGATCGTGTCCATTGACAATTTTTGTCTGATTTTTGTCTTGGTTCTGCATCAAATTGGAAACTTGCCTAAACAGAGTGTTGGCGTGGTGCTGAGAATCCGTCACCAGAATGGCCAAAGGACCAGATGCTGCCGGTGACGTTGGTGCGGAAAAACAAGATTGCTGCACTGTTGAGCAAATAATGGGAAGGTAACTCCACGTACGACAGGTGGCATTGCTGTTTATCAGAATCATGGAGCCTCCGTTGCACAGATGTGGCCAAGCGTACTGTTGCAACGGACTTGGAGAATAGATGGAATGATTATACATCTCGTTTTTGACTGCGTGCCAAATTGGAATATTATTCAGGTCGTTTATGGGTGTGGCTGGTTCCAAGCTATGGGCTAATACATAATATTTTAATGCTGTTAACTCATTGGAATGGTGGGAATTTTGGGAAAATATTTCACCAACTCCAGTGCCTCCACTGGTTGTGGACATAACCTCCGTTCCACTTTCGGAGGTAGCCGCCGAATAAATAAGCCGGGAGGAGACTGAAGAAGGTTTAATAGACCTGGGTTGATCCATGGACGTGAATAGTGGGGGTATGGCTTGATCCATGGACGTGGATAGTGGGTGTATGGCTTGAACATCCGTTCCGCTCTTGGAGGTAGCCGCCGAATAAATAAGCCGGGAGGAGACTGAAGAAGGTTTAATAGACCTGGGTTGATCCATGGACGTGGATAGTGGGGGCTTAGCTTGATCCATTGACGTGGAAAGTGGAGGCTTTGCTTGATCCACGGACGTGGAAAGTGGGGGCTTAGCTTTATCCACAGACGTCGAAAGTGGGTGCCTGGTTTTATCCACAGACGTGGATCGTTGGGCTAAAAGCACCGACGTGGGTACATCAAGAAGATTGAAAGGAAAATTGAAAAGAGCATCAATTTCCTGTTCCGATTTTGGGTCATCTAATTTTTTAGGCTTCAAAGCGTCTAAGCAAGAGCCAACAGCTGCAGTATTTCCTTGGGTATTGACCTTGCAGAATCGTTTTGCAGTGTCAGGAACCACTAACTTATTTTGAAATCGAAGCATCTGTTCTACTTGCTCCGAGCTTGTCGATGTTTGCTGGTATTTTTGATGCCTAGACCAAATCTTAGGCTTGGAAAGAGCGTTGTCATCATTAGAGCGTAAGTTCCCGTTTTTAACTAAGTGATCTGGGACTATTTTACTCAGATGGGACGTGGGTTGGACCATTGTGAGTGCACAATTATCAACTAATTCGAATGTTTTTGCCACACTTTTGCTCGGTTTGATCAGCTGGTGGTTCATCTCCGCCATATCAAATCCAAAAACGCTCTCACACCAGTCCATTGGAATAATCTTTGTCGGGGAGCTGGCCCATTTTCGGTCAAGCAAGAAGGAAGCCCCGTCGAATGCAGCCTCATTAGTGGAGGATCTGATTGTGAGCTTTCCATAATTGGTTTTGCTTGTCACGTACATTTCCTCAAATATAAGGTCGATCGCATTCTCCAGAAGTTTGCCAAAGAGTTGACGATTGAATTTAAACCACTCTTTTCCATTGTAGGGCACGATCGAAGCCACTCCACCCCTGGTCAACTCAAGAATTGGCTTCGACATCCCATCAGGCAGTGGCCACATATCGGCTTTAACGCAACAAATTGTGAAGCTATAATCAATTACCCCAACAAGGTACTCCTCATTCTCTTGTCTAATTATGTGGCCTCTAATCATGCGTGGCTCACTCCAAGCCAAGTAGCGGACAATGACATCCTGACCAGGTGCGTACTTCTCTTTCATCCTTGGAGGTGTGCAGTACTGCACCAATTCCTTTTCCAGATTCTTTAACAAATGGGCTGATTCTTTCAATTTCTGGCAGCTTATGTAGAAAAAGTCCACAGGACTCGTGTAGTAGGTAACGATAATAGATTCGGGTGGTTTAAGAGAAGGGGCCTTGATTCCATCACCTTTAATGTAGAAAGTGAATTATTTTATTAACAAAATAGTACAATAAAGACTGCTTCAATGAGAAACACAAAGAACCTCTTCTTAAATAGACTTTAACTTAAATTTCGCTAAAATTTTCGCCGTGCACTCATGTAGAAATTTTGCGCGATTTCCACGCGTCAGAAAGTTTGCCCAAAGCGAGCCAAAAATTGTGAAGCCAGCCACAGGATTAAATTTGTGGATTCCGTTTGTGATTTAGTAGAGGGTAAATTAGCTAATTTAAGTTAAGGGGGAAAAAGCGAAAGCAAATGCGGCACACTTTGCAGCTTCCAAATGGCAAAACAAAGCAATCGGACTAAGCCGCAACTGAGGGGGTCCTTGTGCCTATTTTGCTGTTTGTTTGTGCTGCACTAGATCTGCTGCATTGCCTTCGCAGCGTTTTCCCCCCGAATCCTTCGGGAATGTGGCAAGTGGTGCTTGCTCAACAATCAGCAGTGGGGCGTTCACCAAGTTGTTGTTTTATCAACACTTTTAAAGTTACGATACTTTGTGTGGCAGCTTGTTTATATGCAGGACGATTGGTCCAAATCGTGTTAGGAAGAAACCGAAATGATTCAGCAAAAAATGTTGATTGAATTCTGAAGATAAGAAAGGCAGTCCTACCCTCTAGAAGGTATTAAATACATCCCTAAATAAACGGATTGAAATTTATATTGTATGCAAATCTAATTATCCTAAAATCGATGCAATCAATAAAAAAACCCTATTAGAATTCATTGATGAAGGATATACTCACATATTAGGTTCGGTTCAGTTTGTGAATCCATCTTTATGGTGAATTACTCGATCTGAAAAAGGAATAATTTGATGTATAACTTGATATATTTGATGTATAATTTGATGGTATACAACCACTTACCACTTTCTGGACTCGAAAGCCCACAAAAATCTGAACAATCTTGAAGTTTTCCGTTTAAATTAGTTGAATACACTTGATTTCAATAATTCTCGAATACGGGGAATCTAAAATTATGATAGAAAAGGACGACATATGTATATATCTGCAATAAGTTGAAAGTCATTGTATATATAGTACATATACATATATGTATGTACGTATATGTATAAACATTTTTTCTTTGTAGGATGCTACTGCAATGGCAATTTTTCTCCACTACACACATCTACACAAAACTTGAAGACTTTTTGAAGTTTCAGCTGAAGCAGCGTAAACAAATCTTAGAGAAATTGCAATTTGATCTTTATGTGCTATGGAATGTTTGGAACAAACTTTATATGTATGTGTGTACTTTATTTTCCAAGTTACTTACCAAGCGGAACAACAAATTTTTCAATCACAGAATTATTTAATATAAACGTAAACAACTGACCTTAAACTTTAAGGTTTTAGGCCTTTTTTTTTTGGTTATTAGCCAGTCTCAGCCGTGGAGACACCTTTGGTTTTGGATTTTTTCACTTTCAACCAAGTGGGGAATAAAATTTAGCCGCAAGCCTTTTAAAAGTTCTTGCAGAACTAGAGACGGACAGAACTCGATCAGTAAGCTTATCGATTAACCAAATTTAAAAACAAAAACAAAAAATACCAAAAAAATTATCATAATTTATGATTAAAGCCCTTACAAACAAAAACCTGTCTAGGACATAGGCCAGCATTTTTTATAACGACATTATTTGGAGTGATCGCTAACAGGCAGAGTAAAAAAAAAAGAACCCTTTTTTATCCAGCTTCTACTAATTGCAAAACAAAGTGAAAACCATTTATTTAACCCAAAGTACGGTTTTATTTTCCTATGAAAATGGCACTTTTCACCCCTTTAACGGTAACAAATTTTCCCTTTTCCGCTATTGTTTGCCAGGCACCGGTCGTTCAGAAAAGTTTTGCCAAAGCAGGGTTGCGCCTGCCGCCCCTCAAGTTCCCGCCGCATTTTCTTTTTATTCCTTTTTTATTTGATTGTTTCATATTTATGAGGATTATATGGTTGAGTGTTGATATCAGTAAAAAGGTTGACTGGGTATGAATGTGTGGCAATTTATTTAGCAGCTAAGCCTTTCCATTCACTTGCTGTTAAGTGGAGGAATATTTTCGGACTAATCTGAATTGACATATGTACATACATACTTTCTATGAATGGAATATATGAAAGTTATGAATACGTTTTTTATATCATAGCAGAATCCATCAAAAAAATGTTAAGGTATGCACCATTATTAGCACGAATAATTTATAGTTATTAGGTGGAGGGTTAAACTCTAAAATTAGTAAACTTTTTAAATAGTTCCTTTTTTTTAATTTAAAATATTATTTAATTATAAATTTTTAAATATATTTAAATCGAAATTAAAATATAAAATACGCTTAAATTCATGAACCTTCTTTGTAATTCTTTTAACCATTTTGAAATGTAACAGTTGCCAGAAAAATACCCGCCCGATATCAATTTTGTATCGATATCTATTATCGATATTCTCAGGAAAATATATGCAGATACGAAAACCCAAAATATTTCAGATAAAGGGATACGTATTATACTCTTATTAACAATAATATTTATAAATTAAAAATTGAATTTAAACAATAAGAATTTAGTGGGACCATTACTGTGTGGGTGGGCTCACTTTCAACCCCGCTTTTTCCAACACTAGCCGATAGCACCCAAAATGGCGCTTACTATCGTGTTTTCCCAGCAAATAACATCGGTGCATCACAACTAAAGCGAAAAAAATACGGGCTACGGACGAAAATTGTGGAATTTCACCGAACGCCAACTCAAACGCCGTTTTGTGGTCCAGCCCATCTGATAATTGTTGTTCTAGCGCGCCGCCCCCCAAACCAGCAAAATAACCAAGTTCAATATCCGCCTAGACAACATAATGTCGAAGAACAAAAAACTGTCGCTTTCGGGCGGCGATACGGCGGAGAAATTCATTTACAAGCCCAAGGATTTGATTTGGTAAGAGCCCGTTCCACGCCCCACGTGATGGGCAATAAGAGTTTCCCGAATTTCGCTACGCTTGGTTAATGGGCTTCTTTTTAATTTAAAGTAAAAACATAACCTCAATCGGTGTCCGATTGGCGCTCCAAAACAAGAGAAAAAAAGTGAAGTGTGCGTAAAATGGCAATTAGCGCTTGTTTGAACGCCACGCAAGGTATTTCCTGTGTCCATAGTGTTCCAATTGGCTCAACGAATCTGGAGTTACATGAGTAACAAGGTGCTCCACCGGCGGGAGCCGTCAACGTCTCTGCGTTGGCGCTTTTTCGCGCGCGCGCTCTTTTTTTTTTTCATTGTGAGATTTATTGGCCCAATATGATTATTCCCCCGCTTCGAAGTAAGTTCTAATAGCCTTTTATCTTTTGCAGGGCCAAAATGAAGGGCTTCACCCCGTGGCCGGGAATGGTAAGCGATCGGAATGTTCTGCGCGTCGACGTCGCGTCGCTGCCTTGTCACTGCCGCCGCCTCTGCCGCTTTGCCACTCTGCCATGTTGATGTGTTTGTGTTTGTTTTCGACTGTACTTTTTTTTTTTATGCAGCAATGCCCTGGCTACGCACTTGCACACGCTTTGTGGCACTGCCGAATGAAATTAGTACGCTTTTGGAGCCGCTATCGGAGCTACTAAGCTATAGTTTTCGATTATGTACAGCCACAGATGCTAACGTATGCAATGGACAGCGCAGGAGGTGGGGGCGGCACACGGCGGAGGGCATTAATGCGCGTATTAATTGATGTGGTGGCAAAGGATGCTATCTGAACTGTGTTCGGACTGGGTTTGGCGAATAATGTACCAAAAACCAATGCAATGTTTATTCTTAGCAATTCTCTCAAATTTTTAAGTAAATATTTTACATTTAAGTGTATTTTTTATACAAAAACGCTGTATTTATTTTCATTTTGGTTTTGTGTGTATGTTAGCTCTTCTTTAATTGTTTATCTTTGAACGTTTATCTTTATTTCTGTTGTGTAAAAAAGAAATTTTAAAAATTCTCATAAAATGGTTTATTTTAAAATATTTAAATCCCGCTATTTATTTATTAATTTATTAATTTTTAATTAAAAATCATTTAAACCTAAGTTTGGTCCTAGGAAAGGTTTAAGTAACACATATCGCCAAACCTTAGGCTTCCGGTTTCTGTTTAGACCTTCTGAATACATAAATTCCACTTTCTGTAGATTGTGGAGCCGCCTTTGGATCTCCTTGCACAACAACGACGTGCAAACACCAAGTGTGTCTTCTTCTTTGGCTCTCGAAACTTGTAAGTTACACAATCTCAGTGTATTTGTACCTATTCACCTTGAAACTCTCATTGAAATATAGTGCATGGATCGAGGAAAATAATATCAAGCCCTTCGAGGGTCCTTGGAAGGACGAACTGGCGAAAGTTAGCAAGCCAGCTGCCTTCCGGCAAGCCATGACTGACATTGAAAAGTATATTGATGACCCCGCCGAGGTGGACGAGCAGATAAACGTCAGTTGCGGAGTGCCTAATCATGCAACCGAGGCTGACTTTGATAAGATCCGCGATGGTATCGACGGGGAGGAAAATGCCGCCGACGAGGCATCGACTGCAGATGCCAACAACGGAGTGGTGCCACATGTTGTGGGGAGCCCCGACGAGGGAGATTCCGTGGAAAATAATGCAGATTCTTCAGCTTCGCCCTCCGCCGCTGCGACGACGACGCCAGCAACCACAGGGAAGTCCGGTGGGAAGAGGACGCCTAAGGCCAAGTCCGTATCGGCAGTCTCAGTTAGTAAGGCAGCTAAGGCATCCGCGTCGAAAGCCGCACAGAAACGACGTGTCTCCGCCCACCAGACACCTACCGGAGCGTCGAGTGCAAAGAGGGGTAGGCGAGTGGCATCCGGAGATGTGGCTGGTGACGATGCAGCCGGCTCCTCGCCCAACGCCCGCCGCCGCGTAGAGACGGAAGCACTGATGGCAACTATTGCAGCTAAGCGGGCACCCAATGCGATTGCTCTTCTTGACCGTCCGGTGGTGACACGGCCAGAGACACAGGCAATCGACATGAACTCACGATCAAATACCCTGGCCGACCGCGACATTGTGCCCTCGGAGCAGACTTTTGGATTCTTAGGACTTGGAATGATGGGATCTACTATAGTTAAGGACTTAATATACACAGGACACAAAGTGGTCGTCTGGAACCGCACTATCGACAAGGTAAGTAACCTACATAACATATTTGAAGACAAATTCAGACGATGACTTGGGTTTTATAGTGTCAGCCTTTCGTGGAAGCTGGAGCCGAGGTTAAAGACACTCCCATGGACGTGGTTGAGGCAGCTGACGTAATCTTCTGCTGTGTCTCGGATCCAAAGGGCGCCAAAGATGTAAGTAAAAAGAGAAACTATGTTATTTCAGTTGCTTATAATCAAAATTTCCAGCTCGTCTTTGGCAACTGTGGTGTCCTTCAGCTCAAGGATCTTAACAACAAGGCCTATGTAGAAATGTCGACCATAGATCCGGAGACCTCAACAGATATTGGCGAGGGCATCAAACAGTGCAATGGCCGTTATCTCGAAGCTCAAATTCACGGTTCGCGCCAGGAGGCCGCCGATGGCATGCTTATTATTCTGGCTGGTGGCGATCGTTCCGTTTTCGAGGAGTGCCACTCGTGCTTCAAGACCATTGCAAAGAATACGTTCTTCTTGGGGAGTAAGTACCTCATATCCCATCAGTTGGGGTGCTATCCTTTGGCGAAAGATCAATTTATTAAATTTTATATTGTTTACATCTAGCAGATGTCGGCAACGCCTGCAAGGTCAATCTTATTTTGCAAACAATTTTGGGCGTGAGTCTGGTCGGATTGGCCGAGGCGTTAGCATTAGGTAAGCTAACTTTGGTAGCAAGCTCTGGAGTAGTATCTTACGTTTTTGATTTGCAGCTGATCGTTTCTCGATTTCATTAAACGACATTATTGATATATTCGATTTGACTTCAATGAAATCACCGCTGCTGTTGGCTAAAGGCAAAGGTATGTATCAGTTTATGATTTATCCATGATTACAAGTATATCACATTGGAACAATTCCAGAAATGGCCAAGGGTGACTTTAATCCACAGCAGCCCTTGAGCCACATGCAACGCGACTTGCGCCTGGTGCTGAATATGGCCGAGAATTTGGATCAATCAATGCCCGTCACCAGCATCACCAACGAGGTGTTCAAGCACACCAAGCGCTTGGGGTACAGTGAACATGATTCTAGCGCCGTATTCGTAAGATCCAGATTTTAACATTTAGTTAACACGACTACCGTTTAAACTATATTTTATCATTTAGTTTAAAGCGTACACCGAACCGAACCGACACTGACACACTGACTGGCATACACACTACCAACAGAAACCGTAACTGTAACCTTAACCGTAACCATAACGCAAATGCACCCATACCTAATCCATACCCTCCCACCAGTCCCTCGCTGACAGAGGTGTTTTGGCCGCAATTGCGTTCGAAAACCTAACCATTGCACGCCCTAAGCATCCTATAATTTTCCACATCCTTTCACCCACGACCCCAGGGCTACTGCAACGCCGATCAGAGTTTGAAGCAAGAGTGTGAGCCGATTCGTATAGTCGGGGGCTTGTCATCAGCTCCCGGGGCCCACTCTCCGCCCGCTCTTGACCTGCCTTTGACCACGACAAGAGTCACTAGGACTTCTATTCAAGAACAATCAGAATAAGAATTGAAAGTTGAAAATTCTAGTTTCAAGACCTGCCGTAGTTTGCATGAGTGGTGCAGGATCAAAGCAAAAGGGCACTCGGCATTTGTAAAGATTATACAAAATGTTGCTTCCCAAAAATGTACATAAAAGTATGTATACGCTTACAAAAATTGTAAATGCCTGCTTGAGAATAAAATGTACAAAAATAATTCTTGAGCTAAACTCTGTAAAGTATCAAAGTGGAGCAATGTCCAATTGTATGTATGTACGAATCCAAACAAACAATTTTATTAATTTTCATGCATCCGGTATATTTTATATTATATCAGCCCCTTTTGTTCAATTATATAAATATTTTTCTAAGAATAAAGTGTAAGCCAAATAAATTATGCAAAACATTTCGTCAACTGCGGTAACAATAGTTTGGGTTAGTACATTAGACCCACACACAGTATATAAGACCGTGGATCCACAGAACGTAAGACCGACATTTGAACGGAAAACAAAACATTAAGAAATCGACGTATATACACAGAAGCAACAAAAACACCCCAGAAGCAAAAACAAATAGCATAAAATTTGAGCGCCGGAAATGGCGAGGGTCTTTATTAATAATAATAATAAGAATATATAATAAATAATATATTTTACTTATTATTTAGTCTGTATTTTGTTGTAAAACAAAGATTAATAAAAAGATAATTTTAAAGAGGATTTAAGGAAATTGAACTTTTTGATTCTTATTTATACTGGGGGAAATTATTATTAAAAAATCAGTGGTTTTTACAAATTTATTGAGGGGCTAAACTAGTTATGATTTACAGAAAATATATGTCTGTCTTTTTGCAGCTAAATTATATAAATTTGATTGTCGTAAGACAAAATTCAAAAGAATCAATGGGATATATTTTAGAAGATACTGACAAAATATGAAAATGGAGAAGAAATAAGTTTTAATATTGAACTTTGAGCCTTTGGAATCATGGTTTGAATCGTGGTAACCGTTTTTTAGAAAATGCTCAACTACGAATCCTAATAAGATTGCTTTTTAACAAAATAGAATCATCCTCCTATTGTACTTGTTATCAGAGAAGTATGATTTTTATTTTATGATCTTACGACCTGTTTTTTATAAAAAAGACATAATTGTATCATTTTTTATGAATATAAAAATGTGTGATGCATGATGATTTTAAAAAACGTATTTAAATTTAATTTAAAAACAGTTGTAAGCTATACTGTCTTGTAGATTGACGTCTATAATCATAAAAGTAATCATAGAAACTGGTAATTCATGATATTTTACAAAATACGGACAAAATTTTTAAATTTTAAAATATTAACCAAGTGAAACGTTTTCCAACACTGTCAGTTGGTATTTGGCCGGATTCCAGATACGGTCACGTTGTTTATGTGATTTGTCGTGCGTGTGTGGCAGAAATATTATCAAAACTGAAAACAATTTGTTTGGAGCTTCCCGTTCGTCACACTTGAGCGAAAATGTCGGAAAAGAAGCGTACACGTCGCCGCAAGGATGTAAGTTTACCCATGGCCACATCAGAGATAAGGTTTTTGGCGTTTCCGTCGCAGACCAATTGACATGCCGATGGTATTTGTTTTTTGTTTTGGTATCGTAATGAGGAAAAACGTGAATCGTAGAAAGAGCTGCGATAAGCCCATTGACTGATAGGAAAGATCCAATGGGCCCCTGACCCCACTGGTATTTCCAAAAATTCCAGGGGGCAAGTTCAAAGTGGTGTGCAGTGTTTCATGTGCATGTGTGTGTCCTGGCCTTTGCGTGCTGCTCTTTGGATTTCCGTTTTCTGTTTTTTGCCCCCCACAATACACGAGTCTATAATTAACTTGACCTGCAGCGAAGAAGATTGGGGAAGATGTTTCGGCTGCCCTTGGTGCATGAGTTTCGGTTCTTATTGAGAATTTCAACTCCTTTTCCGCTCATTTGTGTGTTACAATGTAAACAGCTGTGAGCTTGTAACTGGTCCCAGTCTGGCAACGCCGGGGTTTAAGCTTGTTTCGCGAACTGATCTCGCTGATCTGGGCTTAGATAAGTGGTTTCCCAGAAATGCGGCGCAATTAAAACGTGAGGGGATGTTCTAGTCAGAAGTCATAAAATATTCAATATTTTTGGGAATCGTTTTTAACTATTTGACAAATTTTAATTTCATAAGAAAACATTAAATGACTTTCCTTGTAGTGGAGAGTCAACGCAATCTGGATGAATTATTATGATCATAAAATAATAATTTATACTCATAAAATAAATAGATTATGATTAGAGCCCCCCCTTGATCAGCTGGGGGCCCGATCGCCACTCTGGCAGATCTCTGCATAAGCCTCTCTCTCCCGCTCTCTCTACCACGTTCTCTCATTAACCACACTTGTCAGGTGCACCCCACTTATCAGCTGCTTTGGTTGTTGTTGGGGAAAGTTGGAGTTCTCCGATGAGCGGCCGTGTTTCCATTTGGAGTATGTTTGTGTGTGGGTTTGTTGTGGGGATCGCCACTCGTTTGACCAGAGTCAAGATTCAATACTTTCTAGACTCTCGGAGCGAGTGAAACACGTCACAGCTAAGAAAATCGATTCTGGCTTGTAGACTGGTTCCTGCTATTTACCAACTTCGCAGTAAATTTTTGTATTTTTTTTTTTAAATATACACCAAATATGAGTGAGGAGGAGTATTATGAAGAGGAGATCGAGGAGCAGGAGATCTACGACGATGGCACGGTACTTGAAACAGTGGGAAAACTTTACAGATCACGAAGCCCTTTCAACGGCTTGAGCGTGACGAAATCGAAATTGGTGTCGTGGCCTATATTAGTCTACAGCGCCAATCGATCTTTCCGACGTGAAAGTGAGTAGCAGCTCAACTAATTTTTGTTTCTTTGTAGGAATACACTGAACCCGGTGCCCAGAAGGTGGATAAGCCATCAAAGGACGAAAAGAATGTGGCCAAGTGGATGAAGAAGAACGTGAAGACAAAGAAAACCAAATTCCTGAGTCACATCGTGGAGTACTTCACTTCCAGCAAGGCCATCGATGCCCTGATCAAATCCAAGTTCGCCGAGGGCAGCAACCCGCTCTTCACCACACGGGAACAGGTGGTCGAGTTTCTGGATGTGATGCTGGAGCATAAGTTCTTCCATCGCGCAAAGAAGGTGCCTGTCACGCTGGAAGAGATCAGAGGCAGCAAAAAGAGCGACAAAGAAAAGGGACAGGATAAGGAAAAAGAGAAGGAAAAGGACAAATCAAAGGACAATGACAAGAAGGACACTGATCCGGAGGGTGAGGCCGGACAAGGCGATGGTGGGGCTTCTGGAAACGAGAAGGAGAAGAAAGAGAAGAAGAAGCGCAAGATCCGCCTTGATATGCACCCCGAGCAGATATTTGTCGATGGATCGGAGGCCTACGTTTGGATCTATGATCCCATTCCGCTCCATTACTGGATATTTGGTTTTATTCTGCTGTTGGGCGCCGTTGGCATATGCCTGTTCCCATTGTGGCCTCCACTTCTCCGCAAGGGCGTCTACTATCTGTCGATTGCGGCTGCCGGCTTCCTAGTTTTTATCCTAGCCCTGACTGTTGTGCGTCTGATTGTGTTTACCATTGTGTGGGCTCTCACAGGCGGCAAGTTGCACTTCTGGATCTTCCCTAATCTTACCGAGGATGTAGGATTCTTCGCCTCCTTCTGGCCGCTTTATGAGGTTAGTCCATCAATATCACATTTTTACACAATTTAAACCATAAATGTTTTCCCAAACAGAGCAACTTCAACAGTGACGCAAATTCCGGTTCCAAAACCGACAAGAAGTCCAAGTCCAAGAGCAAGAAAAAAGAAAAGGACAGTGAAGCCGAAGAGGATACGGCAGTAGATGCTGACGGAGATGCTGATGGTGATGGGGATGGAGAAGTCTCTACCCTGGAGCCAGAAAAAATTGAGCTAATCAAGGAACACGATACCGATATGGAAATTCGCAAGCGCCGCAAGGTTGGAGCCGATGATTACGAGGACGAGGACGAGGATGTGGAAGAGCCTCAGGCGGAGCCTAAGGATTCCAAAGCTGGGTAAGAAGGATCCGCTTTCTTTTGACAAGGATTCCTGTTATATTGCTCGAATTTGTATTTATGACTTGGTTTGTTTTTCGTGCGTTTTATTTTGATTCCAAAAACAAAAAATAAACGCAAGAGACATATATTAACTCTAGTTTTTAATTGTACACACACACTTCGTTCCTTAATAAATAATACTGTATGATTCAAATTCATTAATCTTTTTTGTTTGCATTCATTAATTTTTATTTCGTTGCTGGAGCATGTCATTTGTAAATACATTTGTTTCGTTGGTTCAGCTTAGGTTCATAATTTGGTAAATGGTTCTTAAAATACTCATATTTATGGCTCATGGTTAACATAACAAACTGGTAAAATAAATGCTACGATCTTGTGAAATCTGTAAATGTAAGTTGCCTTACAAGATTATCGCAAAAGCTCCCTGAGTAAGTTTTCTCTTCATATTTTTATTTATAAAAATTCCCTTGCGTTATTTGAAATATAATATTTTGCACATAGTAATTAATACCATTTTTATTTTTTAGAACCCCACGCAACTCGGGATCTGATTCGGAGAGCTCTAGTAAAGATTACGAGATAATTAGTTCAAGTGAAGTTCAAAACGTTGCTGGCAACTAGGATGGAGGAACCACAATATATATTATTATTTAATGATCCACATCTAGCTAATTGATAAGACATAGAACAAGAATCACACATCAACTACATCAGAAGGCACACACAAAGAATTCCAACTTATAGCGAAAATCTTGTCCCACTGAAAATCTCGAGAGAGTTCACTTTAGATCGCGATAGTTTTGAATTCTGTTTTGAGTTTTTATTTCAAAATCTATTTTTTCGGAAGTACACGCTCATTTTCTGCAATATTATGTTTGACCCATTTTTCTTATTTTGTTGTTTATTTTTTATGGCTGCAGTTGAGTCTTGAGTTGCCGCTTAAGTTATTAAACTTGTAAACAAACTAAATACTATTATACTTTACTACCTATGTTTGTAAATGAATACAGTGAGGCACCGGGTGGGTGCCAGGAACGATTGCAATTGATAATAATCATAGAGAGTACGTAGATGCGAGTGCATACGTTTTATGTGCATAAATATTTACTCTAATGTAATTAAAGCAAACTAAAACCATAATGAAATTAGTAGTCTAACTTGCAATTAACTATTATGATACGATATAAATAAAGCTAGGCAATTTTGATCTGATGAGACACATTTGAGCGTTTTGTAGTTCTTGCTCGAACGTTTTATTAAAAAATATACAACTTATGATGCGTTTTTGATATTTATTGCAACTTGGTAATGGTAAGAACACTTCGGAATTCACCTGACGAAATCAATTTAATCCTAATTGAGCAATAGTAAGTTACAAGTCTTAAAAATCTATTAAATTTTCGAAAAATATTTGGCCTTAAAGCTTAAACTCTACAATTCTGTGTTAGCCTCCAAGTTTATTTGAAACATCCTGTGCTTCGGCGGTATTTTTAGCAGCAAGTGGTCTCGGGTAGTCAAGGTGAAACCTACAGGATCTTGATGGTCCCCGATGTCCCTGGGTGTTATAATCCGGGTACGACCAACATTTTCAGCTGGATCATAGACCGTAAGTTTGAGTTGAAGATTCA